TTGACCGTGACAGGAATCATTTAGAGAGTTTTCTTCACAACTCCAATAGCAGATTTGTGCAACATGCATGCTATCAACTTCGTGAATATGTTCAGTCGCGTGTTGCAGTTTCTGATCCCTTGTATGAGATGATCAAGAAGGAAGAGTTTGAACGCCAATACAATTCCAAGTTTTTGGAGGCGATTTCTTGCTCTCGTGTTGTAGTTGAGCCTGTAAGTTCAGGGACGTATGAGCCATCATCGAAGCTGAACTTAAAGGTACTACAAAACATTCTGAAGGGTGTCTACAAGATCCAGAAGAATGAGGAGCTTGCCAGAAAACGTGAGGAAGAAGAAGAACAGGCAGCTCAAAACATTTCAAACTTGTTAGCAGATGATATGGAGCTTGATTTTGATGATGACGACGTACCAGTATGGCGCTCCATTGTCAACAAGTATAGAGAAGGTGATCAGGTGCTACAAAGAGAAGCAGTGAAGATTACTCATCTTTTCAAGGACAAAAAGGACAATGAGAAGGCAACAGAAGTTTTCAGTTCAGAGAGGACAGATTTTCATGAGACCTCAGAACCTCTTCCAAGGACCATGGGAGAAAATCTTGTAGAGGACTTGCTCACCAAGAATGTCGCAGAACGAGCTTTTGAGGCAGGTGAAGAAGTTCCTCCTTACACAAGAGTCTCCACTATTGCTGGTGGGATCTACACTGGTAGTATGATGTTGACGAAAGATGAAGATATGGAAGAGGAAGTCCCTGAAGAAGATCCTGCAGTTGAAACTGAGAAAGATGAAGAAATGTCTGATGAGAATGCAGGTACTTTTCTCTCAGAGGGACCAAAGATGGAAGTTGACCAGGAGGAAGCTAAGGAGGAGTCAACACCACACTTTCTGTCAAGAGAGAGAGGTGAGGACTCAGCTGCATCGTACTTACCATCAGGTGAGAAGGATGCTAACCTTGAGGATACTTCAGGTCAGCGGAAATCTAAGAAAAGCCGCCTGAATAAGATTCCTGATCCTCATTTTCATGAAGAAGTTCAGGATGATGCAACTCTTGAGAAAAAAAGGCGGTGAAGAAGATAAGAGAGGTCAGAGAGGATGATGAAGAGAAGAAATTGGAGGCCGAAATCCAAGAGTCTTTTCCATCTGAAGTAGTTGTTGATAAAGATCCTGTGGACGCTAACAATACCTATGAGTTGCATACCTCACCTTTGAGGTTGCTTGGAGAGCTTACAGGAGATCCAGGTATTGGCTTTTATCAACTATGCTTCAGGGAAACTCACGCAAGATTGCTGAACCATGTTTGTTTCAGAAAAGGTGAGATTTCCCATCCTCATTTTCAGTCGAGGATCAACGAGGATGATTTTGTTCGATCCATTCGAAATGTCTGTCCAGTACCTCCACCTGATTGTTATGAACACGACTCAGAGCATGATTTGAAGAGGTTTTTCATCAATGATGACCGCATCAGTTATTTGGATGGCAAGTATCAGGTCGACCCAAAGGCCTTTAAAAGGGCAAAACATGCTCGAGAAGAATTGGAGGATACGAAAAAGGAACTTAAGAAGGAACTGGAATCATATGGTCCCAATGGACCCAGTTGGGATTTTGTCACCTTCTATGAAGAGCTGTGCAGAAGGTTCCTCAAGGGAAGAATACAAGAACAATATGGAACCAACTTATTGGCCAGCTCAGAGTCCTTGACGTTTTTATCCTGGAACTATGGCAACATGGTTCGTGGTCAGAAGTACACCACACCAAGGTTTCTCCAAGGACTTGATAGTGCAATGAGGCCACGCAAACAGAGCGCCATGTCACTTCAATACGAGCAATTTGAGAACAACCTTTTCTTCAATATGCTCTTCTTTTTACGTGCACATGTCGTGATTCTCCAGGAAGCTCATCTCCTTGTTCCTGCCAAGGAATTCATTGAGCAAAAGAATTGGACAGTTTGTTTCAATGATTGGGAGAATCTTGCAGTGATGGCTAGATTGGCACCAGGTGGATATGTCAAGATCATTGCTGGACATGACCAAGACCTTGGTCACTGTGAACAGCGTGATGTAACTTGGGCTATCTACGAGATTTGTTTTGGAAAAACAAGGCCTCGTCAAGAATTCAAGGATGCAGACTTTGAGTTTGATGACTATGGTCCTGAGGACCAGCGTGTTCCACTTACTAGAGCGAACATGCATACCATCAGAGTCTGTAATTATCATGTTGATACACACCGTGCTGTGGATGCCCACCTACTGACAGGAGAACAGACAGCATTGATGCTTTATGAGTGTTTTGTCTATGAGGTGGACATCATTTCTGGTGATGCAAATAGTTTAGCCTACAGATGTCTGGGTACAAAAGGCAGCCAATGGCTAACTATTATTACAGCACCATGCAGCATTGGATCCGCAGGTTTTCAGAAGCCCGTGTAAAAGCAGATCCTGGTATCAAAGCACCTATTCCCAGAACATTTTACAGTTCATCTTCACAAGTCCTCAAGCAGTGTGAAGATTACTTTGAGAAACTCTGGGAAGAATACTCTACAGAAGAGAAAGAAGAGTACCAGGGATCAAAGCTTGGAGATACATGTTTGCCTACCATTGTTGAATGGGGTCATTCGATGAGTGAAGAGGAATATGAAAATTCCACAGTGAGCACGAAGGAGTTCATCTGTAATTTTTCAGAGAACTTTGCTATGATTGACACGGAGGTTATGTGCTCAAGGCCCACTGACGAGGACAGTCATGGTCCAATGTTTATTTCACTCAGACCAGCTTCCTCTTCATCTGGAGACAGAAGACAGTATCGCATGGGAGCAAGTCTTCATGAGGCGAAACTGCGGAGGAAGGAGAGACAGAAAGAGAATAAAAGGAAAGGTAGGCCGCCAACTTCTGATCGAGCAGCTTCATCGACTGCAGCGGCATGAAACTCAGAGCGGAAGCTAACTTTTAATGATAACTAGGAAGTGAAGATACTTCTGATCACAGTTGATACTTTGCTTCCAGGCTTGACTTTAAGTTGCCAGGCTGAAGTTTTAATAAATTCTGGTTTGCAATGAGGAGAAACTTTTTATCAAAGAAGATACTCCTGCGTTCCAGGTTTATACGCTTTAGCATGTAGATAGGTATGGACAGTTTTGCATATCACAGCCGCTTTTTCTGAAATGACCTCTAATGGACAACCATTCATGGTTGAGGATTAAGTCATTTCATAAGTTTGCATTTGTAGCGCAAGTTTTGTACATACATTTGCCGGTGTCTCCTTCCTTGCGTTTTTGATGTCAATGAGAAAGAGTCCTTTTGATGCAGTTCCATTTTTATTTAAGTTCTGTGTATGGAAGCGGCCGAGACCACTTGTCGAGAAGAACATTCCTCGGACCGAGAGTTGACGCTCCTTGCATTTTGCAAGGCATCCTAATTCATTGCAATTTGTGCGGTCTTGAATTTTTAATTCTTCGTTACGCGAGTGTCGTTTACTGCTTTTACAGGTCTCTGTGTAAGAAAGCCGCTTTCCTTGAATTTTAGTTTCTTTAAGGCTCTAGCTATTTAAGGGCTATTGAGCGCCGGTACACGGTATCTTCGCCGGTTGAACAATACAGTCTCCAGCCGAGATACATTGTCGTTGACTTTGTAGTTGAGGTGAGTCAGCTATTGCTCCCTCACTGTATTTAATAGACTTTGAGATTACCTTTTCTATAGTATGAAACATACTAGAATCGGTAAGTACAGGGCACCGTAGTTTCCTTTTAGAGCTTGCTGGACTGCTTTAGCCTTGCGGTAGAAAAAGTATGCGACATACGCAATAGGCAGGAGTGGACATGAATTTTGTGCTTGTTGAAATGTATAGGCATACTTGTACAGGTTCCACTCCAGTGGCCTATCTAGTGTGTCCATGCTTGACTGCCATAAGGCTCAAGGGATATAGGATAAGACTCTGCGTGAGCAAAAGACACTAGCGGTCTGCACCTCTACCGTGTACGCCCTAGTCACTCTTTCACCCCCCCCCC